CCTAAAACCTAAACCCTAAAGTGTGTGCCAGGTCGTCCGGCTGACAAAAGGTGCTGCAGATCTTCATGTGGGGCCCAAAGTGCCGCTCACACAAGCCTGACTGCCACTGCGGCTGCAAAATCTTGGGAGCCCAATACCTTTCACTAGAGAAATTTACCCTAAAGCATGTGATGTTAATAGGGTATGTTCCTCAATTAAGGGGTACTGGGCCTGGGAAACCTAGCCTGCACGCATGAGTTGGAGGTAGCTGCGATGGTCTCTGACATCTTGCCAACCAGCTTCCACCGGCTCAAGCCCGAAGGAAGTAAGTATGAACCGCCCCTTACATTTCGCGAATGATCTTAACCACAAACACATTAGCAACAAGAACCATGGTAGTAGTAATGAACATAGTGACAACTACAAAGCAGCAAAATCAAGTCATACTGGATAACAACTCGGCGACCTGGCTGGAAAAGCTGTGGAGAAGCCATGTCCGGGCCACCGCGCCTGTCATTCGCATATCCTCGGTCCTCGTCTCACGGGTTCCTTCTAGGACAAGGGCAATATAATCCCTATACAAGATATAGTCCCATATTCTCTACTAAGACTAAGAACCAGTAAGTTGTTGCTATGGCTCGACAGAAAGCAAGAGCTGCGTCCAACGGGGAGACCAAAGCTGACGAGAGTTCTGCAGCAGGACCGTAAGCCCGAAATCCTGACCCCCTGAAGCGTGTGCGTTTGAAGGAGGGATGGCAGATCTGCAGGAAGGGATCCAAACGAAGGTTTCGCAAAATTCTTCCGCAAGCTCCTATGTTAAGGCTTACACTCTTTTTGGGGTGCGTAAAGTGAGGGGGACCCCTTTTTCTGGAAAGCCCATATGCAACCCCTTTGCACCCTTTGCATGCAATGTGCAGGAGCAAAGCCTTCGAAGCTGCGCACGGTTTGCCTGCGCGGCTGCGCAGCCGCTTGGCCATATTGCTGACGGGGACAAATAATCATATATTATGTAATATTGTAACGTTCTATATGATACTATAATGGCAGGAGTTCAACATGCATGATTCTTAGTATCGTTCTTCTTGTTGTTGTTGTTGTTGTTGTTGCTGCTGCGGTATTACTCTTTTTTGCAAAGGTTGCTTTGCTGCTTCTGGTGGTTGCGGTCGGCTGCAGCAGCATGCTCCTTCTCCCTGCTGAGACGCACCAGGTTGAACCTGTTGAAACTTGGTGCAACACTTTGTGCTAGCGTCGTGGGTTTCTATATGGAGATAACAAGCATTTCAGTATACGGGTTTGTATTTGGGTCTTCTATTCAGAGAGCAGCAGGGAGCATTGGGAGTTGGAATTTGCTGACTGCTGCTGCTGCTGCTGCTGCTGTTGCTGCTGCTGCTGCTGCTGCTGCTGAGGACTCGCCACGTGGTCCACCTGACGCGGCATTTGCACAGGCTGCGATCCCTCTTGTGCGGCAGTTCATCAAGTCCCGATACAAAGACTACGGGCAGGGAAAGGTGGCCTGGCTGCAGCGTGATAGGTCTGGAGGAGTTGATGCTTTCAAAGAACAAGCTTCATGTTTGGGGGTGGTGGTTCTGGTACGGACGTAGTGTATTGGTGGTAGAAAGGGGGACCCCGATTCTCGGACACTCCAAGTTGCTGACGAAGCATATGGCAAGACACTACTACTGTTGCTACAAACAATCAGGATGACCTTGATGTACTACAGTCCCATTATTCCTGAGATATAAGGCACTTAGGGTCATGCCGGATTCTAGCATCCGCCGTATCAGGTGACCCTGAGACATTTGAAGCAGCATATTGTTGCGAAGACGGACCTTGGTCTCACTTACGAGGACACCTTTTGGGGCTTAGGCTTTAGGGTTTGTTGGGGTTAGGGTTTGGGGTTGAGGGTTTATTGGGGTTAGGGTTTGGGGTTGAGGGTTTATTGAGGTTAGGGTTTACGGTTTGTTGGGTTTAGGGTGTAGGGTCTATAGGGTTTGCTAGCATAGTTTCTCCACGTGAGAGAAGAAGCAATTGCTGCGCACTCCTATTCCTGTTGCTGTTGTCCGTGATCTTCCCTGACCATTGCTGACCCCAAACCCGCAACCCTAAACCCTAAGCCCAAGCCCTAAACCTAAAGCCTTAAGCCTAAGCCCTAAATCGTAAAGCCCTAAACCCTAAAACCCTAAACCCTAAAACCCTAGACCCTAAACCCTTACATTTTTTTGACAGGACTTGAGGGACGACCGTTATTCGTCCATAATCGAGGATGAGGTAGATGCAATTGTGGCCAGATGTGATGCTGGCCAGTAGCTTGTCTTCACCTCGGGCTTTGGTACTTAACCCTACTAACAGGTTGGGAGGTAGCATTTACTATCTGGTTTAGTGTTTAAGGTTTAGGTTTCTGGGTTCTAGCTTGTAGGGTTTTGGGTGCAGCTCCTAAACCCTAGATCCTCGGTCCTTAACCGTGAGTCCTCAACCCCAAACCCTATAAACCCGTAGACGTAGTCCCTTTATAGCCCCCAAGAATTTTGTAGCTTGTGTTTTTTCTTCCTTCCCTACTGACAACGAGCGCCGTACATCTTCGACCCGAAGCCCTGACAAAAACCGTCAACATACCCTAAATCCTAAAACCCTGAACCCTAAACCTTAGACTTGCATGCCAAGGAAACCGGCCGCTTGTGTAGGCGCTGGCAGCCTCCAATCAGAGCTGTGAGAAAATTCATCTGACTTAGGCTAGTACGCGTGTTAGGCCCTAAGCCCTAAACCCTAAACGTTTAGGGTTTACGGGTTTCAATGCGAGTACCACTGGGTTTGTATGAAGAGTTTCGGGATCTAGCCCAAGAATGGAGAATCAAATGAGAAGTAGAAAATAGGGTTTAGGGTTTAAAATCAAATGGAATTGCACGATAATACTGTAGAGGAGAAATAATTCATCACAGCCCCAGCCCCAACAATAAGTCCGCAACATATAAGGTTTCTGAGAGGGAATATCTAATATCCGTTTCGGGTGGTGTTTGATATTTGTTGAACGGGTGCATGTACCTATATGATGGTAACTTGAATTTTGGTCCCTAACAGCAACCCAGTCGAAGAGCATGCTGTGTGAGGGACAGACAGCCTTGCCACGACACATTTGCTGCCTTGTAACTCAAGGTCAAATCTTGACAGCCAAATCCTTATCAAGTGCCGCGCATCGTAGATGTCCAAGTCTAAGGGCAAACATGTTCTTCATTCACCTTTAGGTAGCAAGTAGCGGCCATGTCGGTTGTGGGACGCTTCCGCTTATTTGTTCCTGGTGCGACCGCCAAGCCAGCTCCTAAACTGGGACAAGCGCTGGGTCCGCTAGGCATAAACATGATGACTTTCTGCAAGGATTTCAATGCGCGAACGACCAAAGTGCGCCCAGAGGTTCCTTTGCAATGCACCTTGGTACCTCGAAGCGATCGCACCTACAAGTTCTTCCTGAGGACCCCAGAGTCACCCTGGTTCCTCCTGCGCTGTGCGCGGCTTCCAAAAGGGTCTGACTTTGGTCAGGGGGCCCCGCCAGTTGGCAATGTCACCTTGAAGGAGCTTTTCCACATTGCTAAGGCAAAGAGCATGGATCCACAGCTCATCGGAGTTCCGGTGCGAACGATCTGTCTTGCCCTGATGCGATCAGCCAAGCAGATGGGAATCAAGATTTCTCGGGAGCTAGAGCCGGAGTTCTCCAAACGCAATGATCAGCCCGTTGAGGGCTTGGAAGAAAAGAGGAAGCAGTTGAGACTACTCAACAAGGCACAGAAGAAGGGAAAGGGCAAGAAGTGACCTCTCAGACCTGATCTATGGTCTAAACTCTTTAACGGGGGGGTTATATAGGGGATTATATGGGGCACTAGTATAGGGGTTAGTAAGAGGGATACTAGGAGTTTCGACTATAGCTCACCTGATCCAGCGTGCTTCGTGGTGTGTCAAAAAGGTTGTGCTTCCTGAAGGCCCGTTTGGAACTGCAGAGGTTGGCATTTGAGCGAGCATGTAATATTTCCGCGTGCTGTCAAGCAGACACATGGGCAGCAAGTTTCAACCCTAAACCCTAAAACCTAAACCCTAAGTGTTGCATCTGTGGGATGGCCATGGATGGCCTAGTAAGCATGCCCTGGCCCGAAGCAGGGCCTTGACTCCGGCTAGGCGCGACTAGGCGCCAAGATAAGAAAAAGCCAGACATTCAGGTTCGGAGCAAGCGCAGTAAATACTATCATCGATATTTTTTTCTTGCTGTTACTATTCCAGTTACTATCACTGTTATTAGTATTATTCGTACTGTTATGGTAGTTACAAGGTTTGACGATGACCATCTTGAGCATTGTGCAGAGCTAGAAGCCAGTCATGACTGATGTAATGGACCTGGCGGACGAGGTGTGGGGCGTTTGGGGAAGGGGTCCTCGCAATGAAATCCAGAACCTTCTTTTCCGTAATATGAGGACCCCTGATTTTTGGAACGCCCCACTTGCTTCTGCTCTGCGAGCTTAGTGGCACGCGCGCAGGGCATGGCTCCGTCTCATGCTGCAGATTCCGAGACTCTTGTGCAGGCTATTGCTGGGAGTTTCGTGTTTAGGCGGTTGAGAGCTTCAGATTCGTACTGGTGGTGAAGTGATTAGAGAACGAACGCGCGGAAAAGAGAATGAAAGGTACTATGTTGTGTAGAGTTTGGGGTCTAGGGTTTGGGTTGGTCAGCAGCACTTGAAGGAATGAGCACGGGATTGCTGGAGGGGATTGTGTCTCGACTGCTTTAGGGACCCATGCCCTCACTCCCTACCACTCACCTATAGATCGTGTTGGGAGTTTCTCAAAAATTCGGGACTACAAGAGATTGCGGGGTCTGCGTTCGTTAAGGTTCCCACAGAGTTTTGAGAAACTCCCAAGTGGCGAGCGGCAGTAAAACCCTCCCTTGTGTCTGGTCAGCGGGACTGCAGGAGGGAAAGACAATGGAAACTGCCATTTTGTTGGGGAGTAAATAGGGATTGCCATAAGGATCCATTCCCTCATTCCTTGCTGGAAGCTACCTCCCAAGCCGCGTCTCAGTTGCAAGTGTGCGTGCAGGAACTCGCTGAAGCTGTCAGACGGAACGCCGAGCGTCTGGGAACTGACGTTGGCTCCTCAGTTGGAAGTATACAAGACATTTGGTCCCCTAAATACCCTTCAGCTTTTGAAGTCTCACTAAGTTCCATTGCGTGGGACCCCCCAAAACAGAGTCATAGTAACAATAAGAATAAGATTGGCAATAATAATAATAATAGTAAGAATAGTAAGAATAGTAAGAATAGTAATAGCAGTAATAATATTACTAACAGTAGTAATAGAAGTAATAGTTATAGAAAATTAGGGTAGCCCCCACTTTTGACTCTGCACTTCTCAAGCGGTCTCTTGAGTTGTCAAAGCTCGTGGCCTCAGTGCCTCAGTGCCTTCCTGTGAACTGTATGGCTTTAGGGTTTAGGGTTTAGGGGTTTAGGGACCCCATACATGGAAAAGAGCATGGAAATTGGTATAGAACATGGAAAAGAACATGGAAATTAGGATAGCATTGCCGATTAGAACATGGAAAAGAGCAGTATAGTGTTGGGGATTAGAATATGGAAAAGAGCATGGAAATTAAGATAGTATTGGGGATTAGAACATGGAAAAGAGCATGGACATTAGTACAGTACTGGGGGTTGGACATGGAAAAGAGCATGGAAATTAGTATAGTATGGTGGATTAGAACATGGAAAAGCGCGTGGAAATTCGGATAGTATTGCGGATTAGAACATGGGAAGGAGCATGGGAATTAGTGTAGTATAGGGGATTAGAACATGGAAAAGAACATGGAAATTAGTATAGTACCAGGGCTTTGAAAGGGATGACTATAAGGATTCCTCTTTCTACACTCAGGGGAATGTTGATACTTCGGAGGGTGGAGGGTTTGATATAACAAGCATCACAGTATGTTTTTTTTGGGGATTGGGGGTCCCCTATGTCTACCAAATTCTAACTTTTCTTATTTCTACCGAATTCAAATTTTTCCTTTCAGGCTGAATGGGATGGTGGCCTTCCACAGTGAAACTCGCGAGTGTCCACGTGAGTTATGGTCTTAACTCCTTAAAGGGGGGCTATATCGGGGGTGATATAGGGGAGTATTACAGGGGTGATTAAGGAGGATGCTACGAGTATAGACTATAGCTCACGTGACTACTGTCACAGCTACAGGCTTGTTGTGGCCACTGTGAGCTTTCTGTTGGTCAGCAGGGCACGGAGCAACGGGTGCTTTTAACAGTCCAAATGTAATGCTCAGGAATGATCCCTACAACCCTTTCCATCCTACGGACCCGACACCCGCACAGTAGTTTCCATTTCTTCTTCTATTCCTCCACATTCCAATACCTAAATAACATAATAGTTTCTATTTTCTTTTCCATTGCTTCGTTCACTACTGACCATCCTAAACCCTCAGCCCAATGGTAGTTTCCAAGTCCTCTTTCACTCCCTGATTCACCAGCAACCAGTGGTAGCATAAGCTACGTATCATCCTTGCAAAGGCCCCGTTAAATCCTTTGTAAGCCTTCCATAACTCAGAGCTGTATGCAAACCCTATATACACAGGTAACCTTATATGGGATGTGTGAGGTGCATGCGGACCTTGGCGCTTGCTGGTTCTCGTCTTAGCGAAAAGCGTGCGGTTTATGGTTTAGGGTTTAGGGGGGATCTGAAAGAATCTAGGGATGTACGGGATTGCAAAGGGTTAGGGGGTCCTTACGAAGGATTCTAGCAGGATCTGCAAAATGAGTTGTTCTCAAAATTATGGGCCGTTATGCTGATTGGTTATATTACGGCACCCAATATCTAGGGATACCACCAAATTGGGACCCTAATAGTGGGAACTACCCAAAACTCAAAACACTAAATAGTAGGTTGCATTTTCTTTTCCATTATGCCTATAGAACCACTCTACATCACTATATAACCCCTATATAACACTATATAACCCTGAGTTAATCCCTAAATAAAGGTAGCTCATCCACTTTTGAAAGTTGGAAGCCGCAGGTTACAGTATGGTGATGCTCTCTTGCAACTTGTGGAGAGAGGCGCCAGCAGCTGTCGTAAAACGATTTTAAACCCTAAACCTTAAACCCTAAAAGCACTATATAACCCCATTGTAGTAGTTTCCATTTTCTTTTCCATTATCCCAATAGAAAGCTGAGCTAAAGTGGCGGAGTGGTGAGGATGATACGTGCAATTGGCTGGCAAGTTGCGAAGTTGGACAATTTGCCTGACACAGGCGTCTCCGGTGTGGGCGACGGCTTGGGGCAGGTGTTCAACACGTTTACGTTTGCTAAAGTCTGCTGTGCAAAGTGGGCAGGACACATGTAACAACTTGCGTAATCGGGCTTTGTCTCTCCCTCATCTTTCGCTATGTCAGCTGGTGTTTTTCAAGCTACAGGCTGAACAACACGTGAAGGAGGATGATGCACGCGACTGTGCCCGCCTGAGAGTCTTCTTTCCTCACAGTATATAGCCCCAATTTATTTCCCGTTATCCCAATATATCCCCAATATAACCCAATATAACTCCATATAGTAGTTTCCATTATCCCAATATAACCTCAATATAACTCTTACATAACCCTTGGGTGCAATGATGTTTTTGCATTGCCTTGTACGTGAGGTCCATATGCCACGGAGTTGCTTCATATCCAAAAGGGTGGATCGTAGTGGTTTCAAAGCATGGTTACCCAAGTTGTAATTTTGCTTTATAGGGGGACCTCAATCTAGACCCTAGCACATTATAATCCTTACTATAAGGACCTCAACATAGACTCTAACACATTATAATCATTACTCAAGGGACCCCAGTATAGACCCTCAAATACTACAATCCTTACTATAGGAACCCCATTATAGACCCTAATTATGGGACCCAAGTCTTAAACCCTAGATAGTAGTTTCCATTTTCTTTCCAGTATTCCAATATTACCCCGAGATATTATAGTAGCTTTCATTTTCTGTTCCATTCTCTTTATTTGAGCCCTATATAGCCTCTAACTTGGTAATCCCTATATAACCCCAGATTTCCCTAAACCCTAAACCCTAAACCCAAACCCTAAACCCTAAACCCCAGGATTCCAAACATGGTTTTGTAGATGAACCAGGCGCAGAATTGGCGGAGCTTGAGGAGGATCTCGAACTGGCCAGATGCACAGACTTTCAAGTTCGGTTGAGGGTTTAGAGTTTAGGGTTTAGAGTTTAGGGTTTAGAGTTTCGAGTTTAGGGTTTAGGGTTTAGGGTTTAGGGTTTAGAGTGTAAAGTTTAGGGTTTAGGGTTTAGGGTTTAGGGTTTAGAGTGTAGAGTTTAGGGTTTAGGGTTTAGGGTTTGTAAGCGCTTGCAGAAGCAGATTCGACAGTTTCTAGAGAAGACTCCCCATAAGGGGTAGGGGTTTTACAAGGGCTATATAGGGATTATGTAGGTTTTGGGTCTAGGGTTTAAAGGAGGTTACTCCAACAATGGAGAATCAGATGGAAAAGAAATTGGAAAATTCAATGGACACCAGGACTATATGTTGGTTTATACGGATTAAGGGGCACGGAGACCGCCCACAATGCTCCTCTTGTAATGCGGAGAAACCCTACGGCGCCCCCTGTTTGCAAAACAGCTGTCTTTTCTGTTCCAGAGCCCTTTGTGAATTGGCAATCCACAAATAGGGGGACGTCAATATAGACCCCAAACTACTATATTCCCCATTTTAGGAACCCACCGAAAAATTATCGTTGTTTTTGGGAACCCCTAATCCCTATAAACCGCTACATAATTACAGTTCCCATCTCATTGTCCATTTTCTTTTCCATCTGATTCACCAATATCGGGGCAACATCCACCTTCAAACCCTGAACCCCAACCCTAAACCCCAGATGGCTGTAAGTTTGTGCACAGTGTCAGGCATGGGAGTCCCTTGAGACTGCCAGGCAGGCAGTGGGCCTTGGACTACTGGTTTAGGGTTGAGGGTTCATAGTTATTCTTGCGTTTTGTTAGCATTGTAGTACAACATGTCAAATTACGTGATACCTTTTGATATCATGTTTGGATATGAAGAAAGGCATTATCGGAAGTAGTAGAGTAGATTATGTAGGGACTACTAAGGGATTTGTGCGTCAACTTCTTGTTCGTGTAGGACTTAGGGTTCAGGGTTAGCAAATTACTGCTGCCAGCAGAGTGAGCAGGATGGTAGCAGGTGTGACAAATTGGTTCGTATTCAACATATTTGGGTGGTTGTCAAAATTATGATCCTCTTCTGGGTACTGTAAATATTAGGTGCCGTATTATAATAGGGATCCAAAAAGGGACTATAACTTTGACAACCACCCAAACATACATGCATATTTGTATTGCTTTTACTGTTCTACTTGTTGTCTGTTCATATTGTATTATAACCTGTATAATATGTTATAGTATGTGGCATCATTTTCTATCATGTTACATTGTGTGCTATATTGTGCTTCATTATGCTGCATTATGTTATACCACGTAATAGTGTTATGTCATATTATGTCATGTAAGATCGCAATATCTACTACTTCTGCCAGCTCGGAGGCGCTGTCTGGAGATGAAGGCAGGGCATGTGGTAGACTTGTCAGCAGCTTGGAGCAAGGATTCGCATTGTTCATCCCTAAAACGTACACCCGAAACCCTAAACCCTAAACCGCCCTAATTGTCGTGGGAAGCCTAGGCTCCTGCTGCTTCAGGGAGAGGAGGGGAGTGGAGGCTAGAAGCCCTTATAATCCACAGTACCAATATCTAAATCCTCTCCTCAACTCCCCAAACTGCAGTAGCTAAGCCCCTAAGTGCTACAGGGGCCTTCATTATTTCCGCTCCCGAAACCAGAAACCCTAGACCCTGAACCCTAGACCACCCTAAACCCTAAACAGTAAGTAGGCCATGCGCAGGCAGATGATACAGCGAGGGAGTCCCTGCTGCGATGTCACCTCCGGCTGGCAGATCTCTTGAGCTTGCAGGAGTGGTTTAGGGTTTAGGGTGCTTAAGGATCACCAAAAAATATTCTTCCTTATAAGGGTAATGTAGGTTCATTATTTTTAAAGGGTTCTTAAGCAAATAATAGATTGCTAAGGGTTAGAGTCTAGGGTGTATAGGGTGTATAGGGCGCACAGGGCGTACAGCGTTCTAGGGTTTACGGGATCGGTATGTTTTGTTTTATTGGGTTTATGGGGTTTAGGGTTTATGCAGGAGGATTCTAGGCATTGTTGAGGGTATGTCTAGGGTTTGTATTCCCCAGCTTAGAAGGGCTTCAAATTAAGCACGGAAAAGAGAATGGAAGCTAAACCCTAAACCCTGTACAAGTTAGGGGTGGCGGTTCTGGGAATGGATGAAGAGAAGTCCATTGACTTATATGATCATATAGTTTTAAACTCCTAGTATCCTCCTTAATAAGCCCTGTAATGCTCCCCTATAGTCCCCTATATATCCCCCTATATAACCCCCTTTAAAGAGTTTAGGCTACAGTACATATAGGAAATACTGAGTGTGGCTCATGTGTTTCAGGGACTGAAGGAAGCAGCGATGGAAGAGCCGCGGACCCGGAAAGCAAGGGGTTTTCCACTGTAGGGTTTAGGGTTTGCAAATGCGCTGGTAGCAGTTTCCCACAACCAATATGGGAACCCGTACTTTGGCGAAGCCCTAGACCTTATCTGAGCCCCCTATAACCCCTATATCCACCTTTAAGGGTACACCTAATTTTTGGAAACCCCCTGCTGCTTGCCAGCAAGGTGCCGCAAAGCAGTCTCAGAAGGTTACGCGCAGAAACAGGAGGATCAGGCCTTCTCTTGCTGCACGGCTCAGTTGTTACAAGTATTAAAACTTCTATTAATAATATTAGGCGTATTATCTTACTATTGCTATTATTATGACGACAGAAGAGTATAATAAGATCCCCATATACTCCATATTCTATCTACTTGAGGGGGACTATGGGGGTTTCCATGTCGTTACAAGCTTCTCGCAGGTCTTGGTGTCCTCGCGCATGCTGCGCCTGCAAGCAGATCTGTCAAACTGGGCGGCGGCCTGCACCTTACGTGAGCACTTTGGAGCTGGGTCGAGATCGGTTTAGGGTTTAGGGCTTAGGGTTTAGGGTTTGAGGTAGTATGATTATTTGTACTATTACTATTGCTATCATTAGTACTATTTCTATTACTATTGCTTGTATGATTATTGCTATTATTAATATTATTAGAACTCTGGTTATGATTACTAGTCGTATTGTGATTACCGTGGAGTTTTTGGTTGCATTTCAGGCTCCTGGTATCACTCCGCCAGCTGATGAAGGCCTGGCTAACGTGTATGTTCACCGGCATGGCATAGAAGCCGCTCAGCTATAGTCTAAACTCCTTCGGGGGTGTTGTTACAGGTTTATATAAGGGAGCATTCTAGTGCTGATTATTAAGAGGGATACTAGCAGATTAGACCATGTCTCATATGTGTGAGGACGCGCTGTCCAAAAGTTGCCGGTCGTCAGCAAGGAGGAAGTTGCTTCATCCCCAATGGAGGCTGTCGCTCTAATTGGAAATGATTCTTTTTTCGTTCCAGCACCGTTTGGGCTTAAAGACTCTTCTTTTGCTAGGTGCCTGTTCGGAAGAGGCGACGTGTTGAAAGCGAACACAGCAACCAGGGCAGTCGTGGCCAGACCCGAGACCATTTGGATGAAGCAGCGCAGCTTTGTCAGGAAGAAAGTTGGTCATTCCACAACTCCCAGGGTTTATGGTTCCGGGTTTAGGGTTTATGGTTTAGGGTTTGGGATAATATGCTACAATATAACTCCAATATAACCCTA